CAGAAATCCATGTTCACAAGCACACACTGCAGAGCTCACAAATTCATCTTCACAAACACCACACACACAAACACACACACACACACACACACACACACACAGAGAGAGACACTGCAGAGCTCACAAATGCATGTTTTTCACACACACACACACACACACACACACACTGCAGAGCTCACAAATGTGTTCACGCACGCACACACACACCACACAATTCGACTCTCACACAGATTCTCCCTCCTACGCAAGCGCACACACATTCCCCCTTTCTCGCCTCTCACACACACACACACACACACACACTCTCTCTCTCTCTCTCTTCACACACACACACACACACACACACACAATCTCTCTCTCACACACACACACTCTCTCTCACACACCCCTCCCCCTTCCATTCTCTCACACACATCCTGCCTCACGCACACATCACATACACAGTCACATTCTCTCACTCTGTAACTCACTTGCTTGCACATACACTCAGACAAATAGACATGCAATAACACACACATACACACCCCTCCCCCTTACACAGGAATCCTGCCACTCTTCCAATACACACAAATACACACACAGATCACAAACATACACTCCACCCCCACTCTTCCAAACACATCCTGCTTTTCCTTTATCACAGATAGACACACTTCATGTTTTATGGGGACTTTCCATAGACATGATTTTTATACCGTACAAACTGTATATTCTATCCCCTTACACTAATCTGAGCTCTAAAAGTAAACTTTATGCATTTTTACATTTTCAAACAACATCACTTATATGATTAATAAGGGGTTTTCCTTATGCCCCCCCCCCCAAAAAAAATGCAACCTGTTTGAATGACAGTTGATATATTGCCATTTATTGTAGTGCAAATTTAAAACACAAATATAAATAATACATTTTTAAATGGTAGTTTTTTCTTCTCCAATTCAAGTCATCTTCATACAGTAACCAGGTGCAGAATCCTTAAAGGGTTAGTTCACCCAAAAATGAAAATTAAGTCATTAATTACTCACCCCCATGTTGTACCAACCCCGTAAGTCCTTCGTTCGTCTTCGGAACACAAATAAAGATATTTTTGATTAAATTTGAGAGCTGTATAACTACCACATAGGCTCCTAAGGGACTGCCTCTTGACAGCCCAGAAAGTCAATGAAGAAAATGTTTAAATATCCCAAGTGACTACCGTGGCTCAACTATATGTTTATCAAGCGACGAGAATACTTTTTGTGCGAAAAAACAAACAAAAATAACGAGTTTATTCGACTATTCCTTTTCTTCCTTGTAGGCCAGAAACGAGACTTCCTTAGATTTCCACGACGCATGCGCGAGAACTGAACTGAAGTAGTGTAAGGAGATCGCAATTCTCGCGCATGCGTCGTGGAAATCTAAGGAAATTTTTGGGTGAACTAACCCTTTAATGCTCTTCCAACAGAGTTCACCTCACAGTACATCTTCTAAGTCAAAGGCCATAACAGGCTCACAAAAATGTAGATTTTGAATAGATATTAAACATGTTAAATATCAGCATAAAGGTACAATGACTTCTATCATCATGAAAAAGGCTAGTTTGTAGACTTTTCACTGTCACTAGATGACCAGAGTCACATCTGACAGATTGACCTGGAATAAAAAAGGCAGAACTTTATGCAGCCAGCAGAGGGCATGTGTGTTCCAGGAGTGTGGATGGGGAATTAATCCAGACAAACATCAACAGATGGTACATAACTCCCACTGCACATTAAACAGGAATAAGAAGCATTTGTATGATAAATGTGAAGTAGCCATTTTTAAGGTAACATCACTCCTTGTACAGTAGATAGATTGTTCTAGATATCTATAACAGTAGAATATCAAAAATAAAATTCTTTCATCACTTACTCACCCTCTTACCCGCCCAAATCTGTACACAGAATAAGATAATATGTACACTCACCTAAAGGATTATTAGGAACACCTGTTCAATTTGTCATTCATGCAATTATCTAATCACATGGCAGTTTCTTCAATGCATTCAGCGGTGTGGTCCTGGTCAAGACAATCTCCTGAACTCCAAATCGAATGTCAGAATGGGAAAGAAAGGTGATTTAAGCAGTTTTAAGCGTGGCATGGTTGTTGGTGCCAGACGAGCCGGTCTGAGTATTTCACAATCTATTTCCCCATTTCTAGGGTTTACATAGAATGGTGTGAAAAGGGGAAAAAAAACATCCCATATGTGGCAGTCCTGTGGGTGAAAATGCCTTGTTGATGCTAGAGGTCAGAGGAGAATGGGCCGACTGATTCAAGCTGATAGAAGAGCAACTTTAACTGAAATAACCACTTGTTACAACCGAGGTATGCAGAAAAGCATTTGTGAAGCCACAACACGCACAAACTTGCACAAACAACACTCCACTACAAATAGGAAAAAGAGGCTCACCAAAATTGGACAGTTGAACACTGGAAAAATGTTGCCTGGTCTGATGAGTCTTGATTTATGTTGAGACATTCATATGGTAGAGTCAGAATTTGGTGTAAACAGAATGAGAACATGGATCCATCATGCCTTGTTACCACTGTGCAGGCTGGTGGTGGTGGTGGTGTAATGGTGTTGGGGATGTTTTCTTGGCACACTTTAGGCCCCTTAGTGCCAATTGGGCATTGTGTAAATGCCATGGCCTACCAGAGCATTGTTTCTGCTCATGTCCATCCCTTTATGGCCACCGTGTACCAATCTGATGGCTACTTCAAGCAGGATAATGCACCATGTCACAAAGCTTGAATCATTTCAAATTGGTTTCTTGAACATGACAATGAGTTCTCTGTAGTAAAATGGCCCCCAGAGTCACCAGATCTCAACCCAATAGAGCATCTTTGGGATGCGGTGGAACCGGAGCTTTGTGCCCTGGATGTGCATCCCACAAATCTCCATCAACTGCAAGAAGATATGCTATGAATATGGGCCAACATTTCTAAAGTATGCTTTCAGCACCTTGTTGAATCAATGCCACATCGAATTAAGGCAGTTCTGAAGGTGAAAGGGTGTCAAACACAGTATTAGTATGGTGTTCCTAATAATCCTTCCTAATAGGCGAGTGTGTATATAGTGTTCTACAAAGGAAATTAATGTACACAGATTTGGAACGACATGAGGGTGAGTCAACGATGACAGAATTTAAATGTTTTTGTTTGAACTATCCTTTACAAATGCAAATAAATGCAAACAGTATTTTTTATATACAAACAAACAAATTAGATATTAGCCATCTTTGGGGTTTCTTTGATCATCATGATCACAAAAAAAATTTGCAGTGCCTGTTAATGCTTAACAATCTGAAGGTCAACAATCTTAAAAGGTAATGAACCATACATTACATGTAGGGATGTCCCGATACCACTTTTTCACTTCCGATACCGATACCGATGCCGCACCTTTGGCTTTTGCCGATACCGATATTAGTCCGATATTTTTTTTTTCGTGGTCCGACGTGCCGTATACGGCCCACAGGGTGGTTTATAGGTTTAACTTTGTGAAAGACAAAACAAAACAAACACAAAAGTAAACATAATACATATCTTTGGAAAGCTGAGAAACTCGTGATTCGAACGACGTAAACCATTTTAAGATACAATCAACACAGCGGGCACAATCTGTCTCTTTGTCAGACCACCAACAGCCAAAACAAACCAACACAAACTGGAAGAAACTCACCAATTAGCCATCTGTTAGTCCACATTCCAACAAAAATGGTTTGGTTTCACTGTAAAGCGTCCATACAATCCAATTTGAAGAAGTTTTTAGTCCAAAACAATTGTATATATGAATAAACATCCATGGAATGTAAATAGTAGCATTTCGCGTTAGCCGACAGCGCTATCACAACTTCGACGCACTAATGCTACGTTCACACCGGACGCGAATAGGGCGTCAGGCGCGAATGATTTCAATGTTAAGTCAATGCAAGAAAAATTCCTGCGGCGCGAATGAGGCGTGGAGCGCGGCGCGGAAGACGCGAATACGCCTCATTCGCGCGTCAAGTTGGCTGAACTTTGGCGTGAATTCGCGCCGCGTTAACCAATCAGGAGCCTAGCTGCTTGCTCACGTGGTGAAGTGTCTGGATGCTTCAATAAATTATTTTGTTAATATGACTAAATGCATGGTGGGATTATGCACAACAAAGCAAATGTTTCATCACTTAAAACATTATTTCTATATGGAGACATGTTCATTTTGTATTGAATGTTATTCATTCCATATCTAGAAATAGTATTATGTTGTAAAGACAATCAACATATGTGCATAAATTCGTGTCTGGACGTGAGAGAAAGAAAAAAAATCACAGGACAGGTTAATAACTTTTGAAGGCTGGCTCTATTTATTATCAAAACAAAAATAAATGACAGCTAGATTAGATGGATGAGGGCCGGGCGAGGGTGATCCTCGCTCAGATGCGGGACAACAGGTCATCAAACTGGGCGCGTGACAGGCGGAAGTACCGCTGACAGCGGCCGTCATCCAGCGCAGCTCCTGGAGCGAGCAAATGGTGAAACTCGCCAAACGGTTCGGCTCCGAAGGGTCCGGTGGACACAAATATACGGCGACGATGATCCCCACGCCGCTGTTCTGCTATCCAGAGTAAATACAGAGCGGTAACTCTCTTGATGAATGCTCGGTCGACATAAAAACAATGACCGCCAACGGATTTTGATTCTGACGCGCGTCACGCGCGTAAATTTCGCTTCAAACTTTACGCGCGCCAGTTTCGCTCTTGACACGCAAAGCGAGAGTGATTCTCTGCGCGCGTGTGCGTAAACACAACAATCATCACGTGACAGGCTGCGCCGCTAAACTGGATATCGCTCATATTTTTTTCTCCCCTCCGATCTCCGATCTAGCGTTCTGGGCCGGTATCGGCGCGATACCGATGCCGTGGATCGGATCGGGACATCCCTAATTACATGTAAGAGTTTTGATTAATATTCAAAAAGTATTTACATTTTTGATAAAGTTAAACATCTTATTCAAAAGTAGAAATATATTAAAATAACTTTTCATAAAATAATATCTTGTTCAGACCCACCCCTCCTGCTTTCCACATGTGGGAAGGCTGAATTCAATTTCCAGTGAGTGCATCCAGATCCTCTGACTCTCTACATTCTCCATGCTGTAATGAAATTCCTTTACCTCATTCTTATCAATCCTCTTCCGCTCCACCCTTTAACTCTCTTTCTTATATTTAGTCACATATTTAGTCTCACTTCCTTATTTTCCCAACGCCTCCTTTTCTTGTCCTCCGGGACATTGTCTTTGGTGTTTTCTCCATTTCTGCTGGCAGAGAGTTGAGGATATCTGATGTTTGGCCAGTCCAGTGCACGAGGTCCTGCAGCACTCGCACAATCCACATCTTCAGACCGAAACTCCCACCGGCCACCTGACCATCCAGCTCCTTTCACACAAGCACATACAAATTGTCCATGAAATTTAGATGTTTCATCAGAAAGCTTTACATTCAGGGTTTAAAATTAACACCTGCCAACTCACAAGTAAACATCAACTGTGGCGGGTAATGCTGTCAAATCACAAGCCAATTTGGCTGGTTACTAATTATTTAATCTGGTTTATTTTTTTCTTTTTGGCTGGGAGAAATTCTGAATGGCCGGTAACTTAAAAATTATACAGGGCTTGAAATGAACTTTTTCACTCACTGGCCAATCTGATTTATTTATTATTTGGCTAGTAGAAGTTCTGAATGGCTGGTAACTTAATTTAGTAGCCAAATTGGCCGGTGAGGGAAAAAGTAAATTTCAAACCCTGTTTACATTTATGAGAAAACATTATATTTAAAATGGCGTGCTAGACATGTTAACTCCAGCACCTCTTTAACTTCAGCTTCAAATTTCTGGCCATCCACTAGTAGCTGCTCTGTGCTTGCCAACAGGTGTACCAGACGATCCCTCACAGTTTTCCGTTTTCTCCTATACTCGCTGTCTTCATCGGAAAAATCTGCGTCCTCACGGGTAATGACATCTTCCAGAAGTCGCAGACACTCCTTGAGTGCAGCGTGCAGGATAGATATTTTTTCTGCATCTGACAGCTGAGGAACCAATGGAGGAATAGATACTAAATAATCTCCGGCAGCCGGTGAAGACGGCAGTGATTCACTGTTTCTCTAAATGGGAAGACAAAGGAAATGAGTTGTGGTTACAAGGAATCACCAGATGGAAGAAATTGTAAACAATTGTAAACACTGTAAACATGACAGTGAGTTAAAGCAGCAATTAAAAAATAATAAAAGATAGAGGCAAGTAAACTTATTCCTTTTACAGTCAACACACAATTTCCAAAGGTCACCTAAATTTATATTTAAAAATCCCAAAAGTTGCTAACTTTTGGAAAAGATACTAAAAATTTGAATTAAAAAAAAACTTCACTATATTTTAGCCTCACCTTTAACCTGAAAGTTTAATGCCCATAGAAGCATGTAGGCTAGTTGGCATATTATTAAGTCACTAATTAATAATGTAGCACCCTCTGAAGCCAGGCTGGTCCTCAGCAGAGAAGCTCATTAGTTTGAATAGTAAAGAGATGTTGCTCACCTATTACAAAAGAAAAAAAGACTCCATTACATTCCAAACCGCTCCCACGTTTCAGGCTACTTTTCCAAGAAACAAGCCGAAACTTAAAAGTACGCTTGAACATTAATGGAAAACAACAAGGAAGTGGTGCTAGACCTGAATAATTTGGCAGGTAACAAAAAAAGTATTTATTACTGGAACAATCGCGCTTTATAGCCTAATCCAACATGTTCCATCCCCTGCGCGCACCAACAAGTCCTGGATAGCACAGACAACGGTGTCACTTCTAACGTATCCATTTGCTGCCTCCTCCAGACATTCTTTTAACTTGCTAAATGTCATGATGTCGCAGACTTCAGTTTGCGTCACACACCACCCGGCCATAATTAGGAAAGACTAAACAGTTAAATATAATAATCAGCAGATAAGTTCAGTATAAATACGTTCTATTTTTTTTTTTTTTTTGACACTCACGTATGCCTCCAGGAGTTGAATGCATTCCTTATGAAGAAGCCGAGATAGAGCTGCGGTTCTCCCTGCGTGGCCCCGCAACCCATGACGACCGTTTGAACCTCTGCCAGCCATTTATACTCAAAAACACCTATATTTGAAAAATAACGTTTGAATCAACAGCAGGAAAAAATCTGCATTTTCTTGTTTTCACTACCCCTATACACTACCGTAGGCTGCCAATGGATGTTGAATGGCGATCCTCGTGTACTGTTTCTCACTCCTTATATACTTACAGTTATTTCACTGTGGCCAACTCTCTCGCACAACTTCCAGAAACGTTGTTCACCCCTTCTTTGAACCGAAGATGTAGCTCTGAATTACCCGTGACTCCGCCTCCTTATGGGAACGTGGTGCGTTTGAGGGGCTGGGAATATCAAGACGGAATTTCATTGGCCTAGAGTTCTTCATAGACCCACCGTTTAATAGGCTACCAATGCAAACTGGAAAATATAAATAAAAGGAAAAAAAAATAAATAAAAAAATACTCGAGCGGTGTGCTTTAACATCAGGATATTTTTTCGATCCTCTGGAATTTCCTATGGGTTTTCAGAAAAGCAGATTTTGGTTTATGAGTAAAATTAGGAATGCGTTATTACACACGGTTTGTTTTACAAAGTTGAATTGCACAATTCACCTCAAATGTGAATTTTGACCATCACATGCTGTTACGTTTTTGTCTGTTGTATTATTAGGGTGTTTAAGTAAGTAGCAATTTTTGCAAATTATAGGAACATCTTTAAAGAAATCGTACAAAGAACCGAGTCCAGAATAATTCTGAGGCCGTATTAATTTAAAAGCTGATATGATGTATCATTACTTTTATAAAGAACTGATTAATTGCAACAGCATAAATCAGTGAATTCGAGAAAAAAAATTCCAAACACATTATGTTAGAAATGTCCCAGCAAACAAATTTAGGTTCTGGGAACGTTAGTTTTTGGTTCCCAGAACGTTCCTAGAACTTTCCCTTAAGGTTAAGGGAACGTTCCCGGAACATTTTCCTTATGTTATAAAAATGGAACCTAAAAATAACCTACAATGGAACGTTCCTATAAGGTTTTTGTTTTTTAAAAAAAATATATATTCAGAACATAAAAAAGAACAGGAACGAACTATACACGTAAGGCCTATCCTATATTGGATATTACCATCTAATAGTTTAAATCGCGGCAGGAGCTTCAGGTTGGTAGTCGATTTGTTGGGTTAAATTTTTTTAACATGCCGAGTTGTTTAATTGAACTCAATTACTGATTAAAAATTACTACATTGCTGGTTAAAAACAAACCTGAAATAGGTTTGAAAACACTTTTTTTTGCACTTTTTGTAGCTGTGTCTCAAACATATAGTCTGAGTCTCATATTTGTCTGCTATAAAGGGAAGTAGGAATCTACACCCTATACCTTGTGTGATCTATTAATAGTGTCAAGAGTGTTGTTGTCAAAAATATCAGGTGTGACATTAATAGAAAATATGGACTGTAAATTGTGCATGAATATATATATATTTTTCTGAATTACTTGCTATAACCCTCCTTTTATACAAGGTGTAGGCCTACTAATTATGTATATAGGTTATCCGTGACGTATTGGTCTGTAAAATGGTATAGATATATTTGCTCTCGTGTTCTGAGGGCCCTGTTGGAGGGGTCACGAATAGAACACATATTCCCGCATGCTGATCGGTTACGTACCTATTGCCTGTAACACATAAATGTATCTTTTATTTTTAATATTTATTTTATAATCCAAAAGTGCATATGCTATCAGTCAGCAGTGGATGCAAATTAAGAGCTGCATGTGAAACTTTTTTTTTTTTTTTTTTTTTTTGCAGTTTCACTAGTTGTGGCAGCTGTGGAAAAGTGATAGATCAGAACATGTGTCTGCTTGCAGACTGTGCTTGAGAGAAGATATATCTATGCTGTTACCATATTACTTCCTCCACTGATAACAGTTGCCAGGGACGTGCACAGACATTTTGAGGGGGCAGGGGCTCAAGTGAAAAAAGTGCACTTCTCATTTTTTTTTTTATAAAAAAGTATATATAATAACACAACTCTGGCTTTTTAAACAATTATTTAAAAAGTTAATTAATTTTATCTTCCTCAAACTCACGCAATTGTTTCATTTTCAAAAATGTTTACAAAATAATCAGTTCACACAGAAACCATAGTCTCCTCATAGGTTTACAGAGAAGCAAAGGAACCATGCCACAATGTGCATGTTTTCTACGCTTCTAGTTTCAATCAAGTATATATTTGATACACCAGGGACTTAGTTTCACATTTGAGGGAGGACTGTATCATCCTCATCATTATAAAACCTTCAAAATCCACAATCCACATACTATCCTCCATCTGTTTGGATCTGTCACAATACCATTCCGCGCCTCGCGGTGGCACAATACTTATTCTTTCCACGTCAATCTGTGGACCAAGAAGACACACTGACATCCGGATTAAGAAACGACTGACAATTTAATCTTCATCGAATCAAATTGACAAGTATTTGAACGGGTCACCGTTGTCATTTGTGATATTTGAGTGATATGAATTCGCTTGTGGGATACGGGGTATCATCCGAGTCAGAGGATGAAGAGAAGGGAGAAGACTATCAAAAGGAGTAAGTCATTTATAATTCACTAAACAAATACATTATCCATACTTTTTAAATTAGTATAGGTGTTTTTCCATTAAAAAAAAAGCCAAAGTGTGTAGAGTTGCATCTTTCCACCGTTGAAAAATAAAAATCGTCATCATTTAGCCTAACACGTAGGTGCAAAAAAATTACATATATTTAATGTACATTGTGTACTTTTAAAGAAAGTGAGGGGTTTTGAAAGACTGAGGATGAAAAATTTGCAGATTTTTTTTTTTTTTTTTTGTTGTGCAAAGTCAAACTACACATAAACTGAGAAGTGAGCATGTTTGACAGAATGGTCACCATTCACATGAATAAAGAGAAGGATCAAGTATCACTTTTTAAAATAATCATCTTTAATTATTCCTGCTTAGGTCCTTCAAAAAGACGGATTGTGCTGTAAAGGAGGCAAAAAGCCGTAATTTCCTGTTGGAGTCGGAATCGCCTTCCAGTGAGTCTGAATCTGGTCCAGAGAACGAGGAACAAGAGGAGGCACCTCCTGCCAAACGCTCCTTTTCTGAGTCCTTGCTGACCCCGTCCCTCCGTCCTCAGACTCACAAGCTCCCGCCACCACCTCTGGGAGGCTCCAGCTCAGGTGGAGCACTTACAGGCAGTAGTGTGTTTGCTAACCCCTTCAAAGTAATGGCTGAGGAAAGACTGAATGTCCTGCAAAAACACGTACCTCTTACTTTACAAGCTCGCCCCACTCAGATCGGCGGTAAGCGCATTTGTGTGGCCTACAGGAAGGATGGTCGCTGCCGCTTTGGAAGCCGCTGCAAGTTCGCACATGACAGCGATCTGCAGAGTAACTGTGTGGTCACCTCGGCTAATGGACCAAAAGACGATGATAATGTTGCAGGTTCACATAATAGTGATCCGCTGGCTTCTTGTGTGGAAGAGACAGACCCAGACGGAGAGAAAGACAATGAACAGCGAAAGAAAAGAAGAGTGGGAGTGAACGATTCTCTCATTCCACCAAAACGTGCACTCAAGCAGTATGCCAGACTATCAAACCCCTAAAAGACATTATAATGCTGCTCACTGGGTAACAACTCACTTTTATGTGAAAATCAGGCGTGATGCTGTGTGTTATATTTATTGAATTATTATGCTACTAATAACAGTCTGTTTACATCAGTCTGTTAAACATTTAAGACAGATGGTGATGTGGTCAATGCAAAAAGAGACTGTAACAAATATAAGAAATAGATGTCATTTATTCAGGTCTGTAGTTTCCAAAAAAAACCTTTTTATCTTACATTAGTTGAACTCTAAGGTTTTGAAGCAATACATTTAAATACGCATACATGTTTGTTGCCTTATGATTTTAAAAAATATTGAGTGTATATGGTTAATGTTCAAAATTCTTTCAAAGTTTTTCTTTTTCACTTGAGCTACTGTGGTTTATTTCTACTAGGGATGCACAATGTATTGGTGCATTATCTATTACTTGTGATAGAACATTCCCTCCCATAAAATTGGCATGAAGAAATTACGTTTACACTTACTATACATTCACAAGTTTGGAGTCAGTAAGATTTTTTTATGTGTGTGGAAAGGAAGTAGTATGTTTTATTCAGTAAGGATGCTTTCAACAGTAACAGTAGACATTTATAAATAATGTTACAAAACTTTATATTTAAAATAAATGCTATTATTTTAAACTTAATCGTTAAAGAAATTATTACAGGTTCAAAAAAAAATTTCAACATTGATAATAACAAGTAATGTTTCTTGAGCAGCAAATCAGCATATCATAATGATTTCTGAAGGATCATGTGACACTGGAGACTGGAGTAATGATGCTGATCAGCTTTGCCATCATATTAATAAATGACATTTTAAAATATAAAAAATTGTTCTTATTATTTCACAATATTACTGTTATCACTGTACCAAATAAATGCAGCCTTGGTGAGCACGAGACTTCTTCAAAAACAAAACAAAAGATCTTACGACCCCAAACTATTATATGGTAGTGTATGTCAGGTAATATTGTATATTTAGTTTGTTTCCATCATTTATGTTACCTTCATCATTATATTCTCACTTAAAGTTAATCTCTAAAAATGCTAATAATGTATTAACACTGTTAAATGTAGTATTTAGCATATTTCTAAATGGATACATTTTTTATTGCGATGCCTAGTGAAACAAATTCTTTGTTTCAAGGATTTAATTTTTAACTTTGGACAAAATAAAATTGAATTTTAACATGGATGGACCATAAAATGGCAACAATTATCATCTAGTCTGTAATATGGAAGCATCCCTAGTTTCTACAGTACCAATTCAAGCCACATGATGGCACAACTTTGCTTACACAATGGCTTTACTCACACAGACTACCATGAATTGAGTACTGCGAAAGCCTCTACAGCCACAAAACAACACGCATACACACAAAACAGATGTGGTTGTTGGAGGGAACTATAACTGTTTATATACAAAATGAACAATGACAACAACTCAAACACAGTCTCCCTGGTACAGACATCTCTACAAAGCTACCAAAAGTTAATGCGATTACATACAATATATTTATGACTCTATATATTTAACTTCAGGCCAAGTAGGAGGGTGACAAATAACAGTCATCTCACTCTCCTCCACATTACTCCAACTTCCTTCACTACATCAGAACACGCTGCATCTGGCCGTCGGAACTGTCCATCATGTTTTGCTCCTCCCCCTGCCCACCCGCCTCCCAAACCCCACCCCCATTTCCATTCTCATTAGTCCCATCTCCCTCCCAGACCACCTGTCTCGTCTCCGAAGGGGTATTGGAAGACTGGGGAGACGTAGATGAAGAGGAGACAGGATTACTCCCAAATCCCAAACCGCTCCGGCAGTCAGAGGGTGCCTCGGGCAGGCTTTGGGAGAGGAGGGGAGTATTGGGAACCGGGTTGTGGCTTGGGAGACTAGGGAGGGTCTGGTTTTGATGTTGCTGGGTGGTCTGAAGAGGCATCTGCTGTGCAACAGATACCATTGGGAGCTGCTGCTGAGGAAGCCCTCTGAAGGACATCTGAGACTGGGGGCTGTAGGACTGCACGGGCAACTGCTGGACCAAAGCAGCCTGCTGGGAGACGCTGGTAGCAGAGGAGTGAAGGGGGAGCTGCTGCGAGACGGGCGTAGAGATGAACTGTAGAGGCATCTGCAGAGCCTGTGTGGAGGTCTGCTGTGAAGGAGCGCTGTTCGCCTCTGTCGATGACATGGCCAGGGTCACCGGTACCTGCATTGAGTGCAGCGGGTGATCCTGATCCACAACCATCACTGGACCCACGTGCGTCACCGGGGCCACCTGACCGGCTGGCGCAGCAGAGCTCCCCTGGGCCTCAGGGACCCCCTGCTCTGTCTGTATGGAGCCCGTGGAGGTCTCCAGCAGCGTGGTGACTCCGGCAGGAGTGGTGATGAGGGCTCCGGCGTTGGCGGCCAAGGCCTCGGCAATGAGCACCTCGGGGTGGCTCTTGGCTTTGTGAGCAACCACACTGTCCTTCTTTTCAAACTTCTTGCCACAGATGCTACAGGAGAACTGGTACGTGGCGTCTGCATCGTGCTTCTTCATGTGCCAGTTGAGGGAGGCCTTCTGACGGCAAGTGAAACCACAGATTTCACACCTAGGAAGGAGATGAGTGGGTGTAAAGATTTTTGATAGGTTCGCGACATGGAAGAGAGCAAATAATTCAAATTCTTACATTTATTCTATTGACATTAATAAAGCACATATATTTTTTTGTTTTAATTATATGTACATGTTTTTTTTTTTGAAAATTGTATGTTAAAGGTGACGCGTGCAGTTTTTTCAGTAAAAAAGCATTTTTCCTGCTTAATATGCTGAGGGAATGATTAGGCACTGGTAGGTTTAAACATTTTGATGGAGCAACGTTGACTGAGCAATTTAAGACGGTGTAAGGCAATGTAAGACAGAGTTCAATAAATCTGTCTGAAAGTCATTCTGTGTTCCTCCATTCACAAACATTTGGTGTAAAAACAATTTTCACTTTGCCAGCAAATTTCACAAATACTGTACAAAGAAACAGCAATTAAGACGTTGTCAAAATAAAGTGACTTTTTATTTGAAAAAAATTACATAGTATTTTCTTGTGATTTTTGAAAAATATTTTTTACAATATAGCAATATATCGTTTTACCAAAAATATCAAGAGATTGTACGTAATACCTTACCTAGGGCGAAAAAACACCCAATCTGGCAACACAAGACACCCGTGTCGCACCGCGGCGAGCGAGCAAGGAGGCGTTGTATGATCATTTAAACAGATTTTATGACGAGGTCGGTGAGAATGGAGAAAAATCTTACATTTCTGTGCAGACTTTGCGCGTCGAAAAAATAATTGTTGTCTGTGGTTGAAATATGAACTATGAACTGAACTAGTTCATTTTAAAATGTGTGAACTGACCTTTGAACTAGTTCATGTAGAATGTGAACAACTTTCCCAACACTGCTAAGGTGTTTTCACAACTGGGTCATTTAGGCATATTTGAACATGGCAATCACACTCGGACCACACCAAAACAATCGCTCCGAGATCCCCTGATTGTAACAGACGCAATCCGACCCAACGCCGAGCAGGAATCAAGGCTAATTTTGCATAAGTGTTTACGTGTCACGACAGCTACAGATAAAGCCACAATAAGCCCACAGAGCGAATGTGTCAAACCATTTTAATTGATGACACAGAGGAATGCAAATGTGAACTCTGACCAATGTGACTTGCATAAACACATTTTGGTACGCTTTAAAATGTTGCCTTGTGAAAGCGAACCGGATCAAGAAGAAAATGCAACATTGTAACAAATTAAAGGGATACTCCGTTTTTTTTTTTTTTTTTGGAAATAGGCTCATTTTACCACTCCCCCAGAGTTAAACAGTCGAGTTTTACTGTTTTCAAACCCATTCAGCCGATTTTCTGATATTTAGAAGAATATCAGTAACCAGACAGTTTCTGGTCTCATTGACTTCCATAGTAGGAAAAAATATATACTATGGAAGTCAATGAGACCAGAAACTGTTGGTTTACTGATATTCTTCTAAATATAAAAAAATCGGCTGAATACTTTTGAAAACGGTAAAACTCGACTGTTTAACTCTGGGGGAGTGGTAAAATGAGCCTATTTCCATAAAAAGTGGAGTATCCCTTTAAGTCTCTCTTTCAGAACAAAGCAAACAATCTACAGGTCTGAAAACACAGTTAGCCTCCTCAATTGGAAAAGTAAGTGTGCAGTAATGTGTAAGCAGCAGAGATATGACTTACTGTAGTGGCTTTTCTCCAGTGTGTATCATTCGATGCACAGCCAGGTTGTGAGAGCTCTTGAAGGCGCGAGCACAGAACTCACAGATATAGTCTCTCTGATCTGCAACACAGGCTGTACTTTAAAAAAGCCACCTTACCAAAGACCCTTCATTTCAAGCTTCAGATGTGTCTGTCTTACCTGTGTGGTGCTTGGCATGGCGTAGTAGTTGTTTCTGCAGCCGGAAGAGTCTTCCGCAAGAAGGGTGAGGGCAGACGTATTTCTTCTTCATCAGGTGTTGATATTTAATGTGATGCTGCAGGGGAGAAAGACAACAGAAAGGTTTCAAGTCTAATTTCTGTGTTAGTAGGGGTGTAACGATTCATCTACTACATCGATGTGTCGATTTATATTCCTACGATCCAACTACATCGATCTGTGCTCTGCAAGTTGGCCTTCCGGATGACATATATCGATCTAACAGTTTGAAAAGGTAATCAATCGATTTTATAGTAAATAACGGATTGGAATTAAGCAGGTCAGACTTTATATGGATGTTTTTTTAGCACTTTTAATGATAAAGGCGCTAAACGTTACTCTATTCAGTCTGCCTATCTGTGACATCATCGCCACACGCCAGCAGAAGCGCAAAGACAACAAAACATAGCATGGTGGATGGCAGAGGAGAAGCAAACGAGCGAGAAATTATCAAGTCACCATTGCGGTCCAGAGTGTGGAAACACTTTGGCTTTTGCAAAGACGGAGGTGTTCAAAATAAGTCGCCCGCTGACTGTTTGGAGGATATGTAAAGAATTGGTTGCACTTTATTCAAATAAAATGTGAATACATTTGCCATTAATTGTTGTTTACTTGTTTGTTTCACCAGATTTCCTTAAAAGAAACAACATGAATCTAGGAAACTTTAGCTGCACTGCCCAGTATCCAGGTATTTATTTCAGTCGCACTGGTTGAATTTTTGCCTAAAAAGTTACTGAATCGATTTCAAGTCACCGAATCGTTTCGGATCGTGTCGTCTGGTTCTAAATGAACCAAAATCGTCCTTGAATCGTACCGACAACCAAGAATCGTGATACGAATCGAATCATTGTTAAAACGAATCATTATTACACCCCTATGTGTTAGGTATCAGTCAGTGAGGGAACCGCTAGTTTGAGTTTGTACCTGTAAATAGCGTGGGTGGGCCAGAACTGTACCACATCCTTCCATTTCACAACGCACATACTGGACCGGTGGCTTTTTCCTGTGCAGAAAAACAAATGATTTTCAGTTCGCATACTACATAGTAGGGAAATATTCGATTTCGGAAGCAGCTAGTGTTTACTGTAATGCACTTGATTGTACAGAAATTGAATGGATATACAAAATATACAGTTATTACATTTTTTTAGAGACTATAGCCATAATCAGGATTAATACACTTCGTGACCAATAAATTGATATGTTTCCATGATTTTTCTATTGGCTTGTGACAGAACAATGTTTTTCACACTCAAATACAGCGTTGAACTGAAAATGACTAGAAACATTTCTATTGACTAGAATTCTATTTCTATTACTTTTCCATGATCTGTTATAATTTTAGGAATTATAATTTATATGACTTTTTTGGAAATCAACACTTGAAATGGCCATTTTATTTTTGTTTTTTATTTTTTTTAAAAAGGATAGTACTTGTGAAAATTTAATACAGACTTTATTTACTTATTTTAATTTTATTTATTTTAATAGCTTTGCTCAAACAAGCAGACATTACAACAAATCAATAACATAGGGATGGGCAACGATTAATCGCATTCAAAATAAAAGTTTGTGTTTACATAATATATGTGTGTGTAGTGTGTATAATTAATTTCTATATATAAATACCCACACATGCATGTATATATTTAAGAAATATGTGCATGTATATATGTTATATATATTTATTCACAATTAATATTATATATAAATATAAATATTTGATATATTAATAACAAATTTTTCTTAAATATATACATGAATGTGTTAGTATTTATATATAAAAATTAATAATACACACTACACACACATATATTATGTAAACAAACTTTTATTTTGGATGCGATTAATTGCTGGCCATTCCTACCCCTAACAGACATTATACTGACTAGAAGTAACTTTGCAACTACAAATCATTCTACTAACCATAAGCCTAACATAACAGTCTACCAGTGAGAGTTAGTTGAGATGTAGTTGCAAAGTTACCTAAAGTTAGTAGAATGTCTAAAGTGGACCAACAAAATGAATTGTAAGCATATATATTCTTGCAAATCTATATTTTAATTAAAAAAGATGGTTACTGCTCTACTCCTGTTTTACAGCAATTTTCAAAGCATTGAATGTGAGATGCTTTGTTACCTTCTCTTAGGAAGACGGGGACTTTTATCATCTTTCCTTCTCCGCCCTCTTCTAAGACAAAAAACCTGACAGTTAATATTTATTTATCACTCACATATCAGTTGTTTGCAGAAGTGCTTTTCTTATGTCCACTTATATTTTCATCACATATATATGAAACGACGTTACTGACTCACTTCCTAGGCGGCTCAGCACCTTCCTCAACTTCAGCACTGGTCTGCACATCTGTGCTCTCCCCTCCCTCAGTTTTGATCTCTGTCTCTAACTCTGTTGCGGTCTCCTGCCCTGTAGCCTTGTCTTTCTTCTCCGTCAGTCTGGTGGGGGGTCTGCGCCGTACCTTAAGAAAATCTCTACACACCAGGACAGAAATGGAGAGAGGGCATAGGAGACGAGACCTTCATCATACAGAAGCTGAAAACAAACATGCACCTCTCATACTTAGGATCATAGCTCTCGTCATTCAGGTCATCTCTAAAAGGGACGTCTTCATCGCTACTGATAACATCCTCTTCATCACTGCTGAACAAACAAACATGAGCATCAAGCAATAATTAATTGCACACAAACCAAATGCACGACTAAAATCAGATTTGGCTAATGCTGTAAATTGTCATTTTCAAGTTGTTTGTCATTACTGGATAATGATTTTTCAAAATTTCTTTTATACATTTTAGATACATTCAGCTCCCCCAAAAAGCAATTCCAGCTAATTAAATGTTTTTTAACCGAGCATGACAAGAAAAGGTTTAGCAATTGTCTTTACCGTGACCTTTTTAATAATTCAACGACTTTTTATTTTACTTATATTTACAGGTTTTCCATGATAGTTCCATGACAACTTTGTTTTATCATTGACTGATTACAGTAATCATGCTATAACAAAACATTTATCAAATGAAACTATAAGTGTTTCCAAGAGGTTATCATAAACACTTAATTGTCATTTGTCAAATCCAGATGACTACAATCAGTATACAGGTACAACATTACCTCTGTGAATTGGGTAGGTAGTTTTGGTCTTTAGGATCATCCACAAATGCATACTCTTCCTCTTCCACAACTTCTTCATCATCCTCTTCTTTTTTCTCCACACTAAAATATGGCAGTAACAAACAAAGGGCTTGTTACACCAGCACCAAAACAGTAGCAGCCATCAGTGTCCTCAAAGACCCCACAAAATGGCTTGACGAGCAGTTTTTAATAAAATCGCCAGTTGTGAATCATGCTGCGCTACTGGCATTTGCTAGTTGGAGGACGAGAATTTGGATATATTTGGTAATGAGTAAATTTAAAAAATGTGGGCATATAAAAGCCACAAAACTTTGATTTCATGGGGTCTTTCATGAGAAAGTGTCCATGTGTTCTCATAATATATGTGCAATCAATCACCTTGTTCCTGTCTTTTCGACTGCTTTATTGGCCTCCACTGCAAGCAAAATTGGCAACCATTATAGTAAGTCAGTAGCTTTTGTAGTCAGTATTCAGTCAAGAAGTTGTAGTGGACCCATGTTCAGTATACTACATTTAAAAGCTCAGCAGCGTACCATAATCAATGTCCATTTCTGGCTCAATTTTAAACACAGTCCTAGGCGAGCCCCGGCAGGTGCGGGCCCCTGAGCGCACCTGCACCCGTTTGCCGCGGGCCGCTGTAAGAGAACACAGTCACATGAAGCAGAATCAGATCATATCCCAAGGCAAGCTGTTTTACCATTTCTTCCAAGTTAAAACTAACTAGTATCTATTTTACCATGATTTGTTCTTTTTAAATTACTAGTAGGTTGTATGATACTAGTAAATAGTATCCACTCAATACATATTCATTATATATTAGCATTCCTTTGCTATTAGTCAGTAACCCAATAATGACTAGCTCTCTGACTGCTTATTGCAATTTTTTGCCAATGAATTCTATGGCGATATGCTAACAATGAGCAATAGATTTGATATAGAATGTATTAATCTTTGTTGACAACAGTAGTTAATAAAAACACAACTGCTCATTGTCAGTTCATTTTAGCTCAGGTCCATTAGATTATATTAACAGATACAAGATTGGATTTAGTAATGTATTAGTAAATGTTGAAACGAATTAAATAAGATTAAAAAATGCTTGAGAAGTATTTTTAATGGTTAGGTCATGTTAACTATAGTAGTTGCTAATGTTAACAATATGGAACCTTACTGTAGTTACCAGACATATCAGATAACTATTCAAATCCTACTAGTTGGTATTCCAATTGTAGCTGGCATCTATTCCAGAATTACAAGTACTAAATGCATACTTATACCAATTACCTATTTATTAGACACTAGTTTGTGTTCCAATTATAACTAGTAACCCAGCAAACACAGAACGTTACCCTAACGTTCAAGAATGGTCCCATGAAGTTATATTTTTGGGAACCAAACAAGAACGTTAATAGGAACATTCCAACTAGGTTATTTTAGGTTCCATTTTTATAACGCAAGGAGAATGTTCCTGGAACGTTCCCTTAACCTTAAGGGAAAGTTCTAGGAACGTTCTGGGAACCAAAAACTAACGTTCCCAGAACCTAAATTTGTTTGCTGGGAACATGTTTAATCTTACTAGTATGGTTTACAGCAGCTATTCTTTCTGACTAGTCAATGGTTACAAGTTATTGTAACTAGTACTAGAACCTAAAAGTAAACTAGCAAAACCAGAACACAAAACTAGTCGAAAGAAAGTGAATTATTTATGTCTGAGTCACAGATCTCTATAGAATTTAATGGCAAAATAAAGATTTTTTTAACAATAACAATTAAATTTAACGTTTTTAAAAATCACATTTAACATCTAATGAATATGTAACAGAGACTAGTCACTTTTGGATTACAACAAGATTTATGGAATAATCATACAACGGCTGGCCATATACAGCCTCCTTTAGATACTCATTAAACAAAATAAATGTTATTTAAAGTACCTCGATTAACCAGCGCATCCTTGTTTCCTTCCAACCTGTCATAAGACGGAGAAACATGCTGTTTTATTTATTATGTCTCATCTTACACATTCTCCTTCCCAGTGTCAAAGATTAGGCGTGCGTGATTTATTTTGCCCAACTACTCTCTCAGAAACACAGCTACTTTCACTAGTGCAAATGTAAACACTGCAGTCTGCCAGCATTACGCCTAAACGTGTGAAAGGAGCACAGCAATGCCATGCATTACTATTAGGATATTCACAAGCGAGGCCCAGCAATTACCCTTAGACACATCACATATATTACAGACTGAAACGTACTCATCCGGCAGGACGTACTCGACGCCGCTCTCTCTGGCCGCATCAAATGAACCTGCAGCGGCAACTGCGCTCTTCCTGCGCCGCGGGCATTTCGCTTTTCGCCGGCGATTTGCCGCTGCCTCGCGTGATACTTCATCCCGGTCCTCCCCGATATCACTCTGCCTCCACACGGGAATCGTTCGCGTTGACCTGTCCCGTAAAACCCGTCCGGAACCCGCCTGGCTCGTCGCAGCTCCGTTTGTTTCGGGTGGGCAAGTCCCTTCGGTCGCTAAGCACCCTTCCTCGCGTCCTCCAGACGCCCTGCACGGGCTGGATCCAGTACTCTGCCCCGCGGATTTCTCCATGGCCGTCTCACTCTCCTCCACCTCTTTGTTGTTCGGGAGTTGCGGCTCCATCTCCACTAAAGTTGTTTTTCTCACTTCTGGACTCCTCAATAATTCTCAACAAATTGAAACATAGCTTGAAATAAACAGGAGGCATAAAATATGAAAAATGTTGGATTGCTAACGGCCCTGATCCGATTGTCAAACATATTTCACTGGACGCTCTTACGCCTCTTTGCAAGTTTTGTGCAAAATTGTAAGTCGGATTAATCGAAAAATTAGTATATCATCTCTATAATAACTGTGCAAAATTCATTTTAAAGACCCAGACCCTATTTTAAGTTCTTAAAGCTATAGTAAGCCACGCTGTTAGCAGGGCCCACTACGGTTGCTCTTTGTTGCGTCTCCTTTAAGTGGAGCTGAAGCCGAAGACGAGCTCAGCAGCGACACGCAGCGCTACGGCTGTACGTGAGCCAGTTTTCACTGACCTACAAAAGTTACTTGGTGAAATACAAATAACCGACGTCGTTCCAGATGTACTTTAAATTGAAGAATATGGCGTAGTAGGAGCATCTCAAAGCATAGAAAAGAGAATCGCAGTCAGCTTTCAGGTTGTTGTCCTTTTAATTAGTTGGTAACATGAATAAAAACGTATGCATGATGTAAAAGTATGGCTCGTTATTTTTTTTTTTCTGTTGAAAAGATTTTTTTCCACAGAAACAAATCCATACACGTGTAATTCATTTATCAGTTTTATCTGTATTACAACGAACACAATTGAGCTATTTTCTTACATGAATAAACTTTTACTATGGCTTTAATCGTTTTGGACTTTTTCCTGCTTTTCAAATGCATTTGTCCGTATTTTTATTGTCTTGTCTTTATTGTTTTACGTCATCATTTTTTTTGTCTTCTTGTCCCACTCCCAGAGGACCCAGACATTCAATCTCATAATCGTGCCCTTAATAATCTTTTCTCCAAAAGTTATTGTCTTGTTGCCTCTTGTACCATGAAACATCAGTTTCATTTCCAAGCTAGTTTTATGTTTTTAGAAAAATATATAAGGCTGAGTTGAAATAGTGAAAGGCTACATGGCATTTTACATCATTTTGCTGGGCACTGCAGAACAAAGGCCATGTCTCACAAACTACAAGGTTTTATGTAATTGTGTATGTCGTTTTCAAACACAAAACGGTCTTAAACTTTGATTAAAGAAACTAAATGTGACCCTACCCTTAGGACCGTCAAGCTCCACCCATCATCTCTGCAGTGCGCGAATGAGCAGCTGCTGATCTTGCAGTGGCGTCTTGTCTCCTGTAGATGGCAGTCTACACCATATAACCTTTACTGTAGATGCATATAACCCATCCGGTGAAGCAAGACTAGCAAGTTTAATTTGAGTAAACGAAACTGTCCTTTTGACAAGAAAAACGAAACCCAGTTTAAAGCTAAACTTGCAAGATGGGCTCTTCATTTAGAAGTAGTTGTAACTTAATTTTGCATCCATTTAAGAAAAAACCGTTTATACTAACTTAATGCATTGTAAAGAAAAAATCTAAAGTAACTTTAGTTGTTTAATGACAATCGAGTGTTTTCTTTGTGTGATTTACGCCTTATTCACGGCAGCGCCATCTTTGATTTTTAATGAGAATGAAAGCGAGGCTGTGAGGGATAGACTTGCATCTCTTCAATGGGCTGTACTGTTATTTAATGTGTTTTCGGATGGTTCTGCTCATGAAACACTGGAAAAATATCTTTCCAAGAAATTACAGTTGACAAAAAACTCCCGACAATGTAAGTTGTGGAAAATTGTAAGTAATCTAGGAGCTTTATTCAGCTTTTTACAGCGGATGCCATTGGAAACACGGTAAGACTATCCCTCACAGCCTCACTTTCATACCTGTCATGGCGCTGCTCTGAATAAGGTCTATAGAGACAGTTTAGGGTAGGCTAGATACAGCTTGGTTTAAAGCAATAGCAAGGTGTATTTGGATGTTAGCTTAACACATGCAATAGCCTTGTTCGTGATTATCATACAAATAATAATAATTAAAATTTCATATTCATCTTTTACCTTTTTCATATTTTTAATGTTTACGAACAACATGACTTTCTTTATAGCTGTGCAGGAGACTTCTCGTAGACCATCAACAACGACAACCTCTAAGTCTTGGATCTCATCTTTCTCCACAAAACTACTGGTGGTTTCTATAATTGTTGCAGCTATTGTTGCAAGGATTCAGGTATGCATAAATCTCATATATTTCGTTCTTTTTTCTTTCACTCTAAGCTGATTATCTTTTACTTGCGGCTAAATTTATTATAATGTATATAAATCACTTCTAGATTTCCAAGCAACAAAAACTGGATTTTGATGCTATAGGTGAGGCTTACTAATATTCTTTTTGATATACATACATATATTACATTAATTAGCTCTGTCAGGATGATGAATATTGTTAAAAAGGTTAAATATTGGTATGGTGTATTTTATTGTTGTTTTAAATAAATGTTTGTAGATTTAAATATATACGTTTGAAAAAATGCTATCATTCTTGTTAATGTACAGAGTATCAGACAGGAGATCCGCTTCGCATTCTTCTGGTTGGAAAAACAGGAGTGGGGAAAAGTGCAACAAGCAACACTATACTGGGACAAAAGCTTTTTGAATCAGAGATATCCTCCTCCTCTGTGACTGGGCATTGTGAAAAGTTTCATGCTTTAATAAATGGCAGAAACGTGTCTGTCATTGACTCCCCGGGTCTGTTTGACACCAGCCTAACTAAAGATGAGGTCATTGATAGAATTAAACTCTGTATTCCACTCTCTGCTCCTGGTCCACATGTCTTCTTAGTTGTGATTCAGCTGGGCAGATTCACAGATGAAGAGGCAGAAGCTGTTAGAATCATTCAAGAAGTTTTTGGTGAGGAATCCTCCACTTACACCATGGCACTGTTCACTCATGGGGATCGTTTGGAGGACAACAACATTCACACATTTGTACGGGACAGTCCAAAACTGCTCAGATTCATCAGAACTCTCAGTGGGCGATACCACGTGTTCAACAATAAAGTACAAAATCCCGAACAGGTCATTCAGTTGCTCGACCAGATTGATAAAATGGTCACTGGAAATGGTGGACAGCATTACACCAGTGAGATGCTTGAAAGGGCAGGGAGAGCGATTGAGGATAATAAAAGAACGTACCCTGAAGGAGAGAGAGGAGCAGAGACAGAGGGATATTCAAGCTCTGAGGGCTCAACTTGAGGACGAGGCCTATGAAAAAGCATTAAAAAAGTTAAACAATTAATCTGATTAGCTGGCAAGAGACCAAGCTGAAATAGACCTTCCATTCTTTTTGCTTTAATCAAAGCACTGGCACTTAGAATAAGTAAATCATTATTTTGAACATCTTCTGATGTGATCCATATGAAAACTGTTAAGTACTGAAAAAAAATTTAAAAAGGTATTTAAAATCTCATGATTTATAGTTAATTTTTAAAGTTTGCAAAGTTATTAATAAATAGAACTAAAGATTGTGTGTTCACTGTACATTCCGATGATGTATGTATTTTGTTCCTCTTTTTGTATCTGAGAAAAATGCAGATCCTTTATCAACTTTGTGTCTATATATGTGTCTTTCTATATATATCCCTCTCCCTATATATACCTTATTTTACATTTTTATTACATTTGCTATTGTTGTATAATGTTGCACAAAGATGTTGATAAATGTTTAAACTTTATGTGTCACAGGCTGGTTGCATTGGAGTAATGTTACCTGTCTAAATTACTGTTTACCGTAAATGGGGTAACGTAACGTTAACAGTTAGCTGCTAACGTTAGCTTATTTTACCGAGAAGTTGCAAACACAACTCCGTTCATTCGGTGTAGTACTAACTTATTAACTGTTCACATGAGTTTACCTGGATAGTACCTTGCAGGATAGGTGTCTGAACATGCCTTTAAAGGTGCAATGTGTAATATTTCTGTGGATCTAATGACAGAAATGCAATATAAGATATGTAAAGACCTTACTCAATGAACCGTTATATGTTTTTATTACCTTAGAATGGGATATTTATATCTACATAATATAACCGTGGGCACTTCCTTCTATGAAGGTCGACATATTGTGACATCATGTTTCTACCATAGCCGACAGCGAACAAACATAGCGATAAAACATCAGCGATACAGAGCGCGCTTCGTCACTACCTTGAAAGAGAAGCCGCAGAAAGCTAGAAGCTAGCCATAGACACCTGGAGTAGTGACTTTTCCATTGTCAGTGGTGTAAAATATGAAGTTGGATTGTTTCATGTAACTTAGTTCTTCTCCCTCGCTGAGTTATGGTCTTGACAATCAGCTGATTAGGACTATTGAACGTAGAACAGTAACGTTTCAGGAGTCACCAACCCATCAATCGCGGTCGACAAGTCGATCTTTGAAGCATTTTAAGTCGATCGTGAAGTGTTTTCAAAACCAGAGAAAAGAATATTTTTATTCATTATTATTTATTAATTTGTGTGTTGTACTGTTACAATCACGTCATTTTTGCCGCACACACCTTTGTGCTCATGCAGACGCGTCGAGTATATTTACGCTTTAACCAGCTCAGCCAAAGCCCTAAAGCATAACAGCTCATATTAGCCAGCTAAACTTTTACTACCCTGTTAGAAAAAATATGTAGTTGGATAGTTTCATGTGGTTCTTCTCCCTCGCTGTATTGTGGGTTTGATATGTGGGGAGAAATGAACGGGTTATGTTTGTGAGACAAAGACTAGCTCATAGCCACAGCAAGTGCTTGGGAGTACTTCGACTTGGCGCATGTCTATGGACTCGGCCTCCAGAGAGTGAGAGGGGGGAGAGGACCTTTCACGAGTGATGATATTACTGCGCCGAGTCGAAGTGCTCCCAAGCACTTGCTGTAGTATTCCGCCATAACTATATATACAATATTGTTATCCATTTTACATGAAAAGCGCAATGTTTTATTTTGTGTCACCATCTTAGGTCGAGTTACACTGCTCGAGTAACTGTATTTAAATAGGGAAAACGTGGAGGTGTTTGGTCGCTTCTCTGCTTGGCCCATTGAATGAACTGGAAGTGTCTCGCGCGTCAAAGCGATTGAGCGCACGCATTGAGAGGACAGAGGTATGTATCAACTCGTCTTAGTTAAGGGAATGACATAGTTTAATATGAAAAAACGCTGGAGTATCCCTTTAAGAGATACATTAACTCTACGTTACAACCACAACTTACCAGCAAATTCAGATAGGTTGTACTCTTCAACAGCTTTGCAGTGAACGTAGTAGCCATAGACTGTAAAAGGCTAGTTTGCCAGTTGAACTTGTAACGTTATAGATAGCTGAGGCTACTTGGCTGAAGAGGCACGTCCACGTCCACCAGGCTCAGTCTCACACAAAGCCCTTTTACCCATATAGCCAAAGATGGTGGGGGTTTTTAAAGTCTATGGTTGGGACCTTTGTCATTGACAAAGGTGTCAAAGTAGTACTTTGTACTTTTGGTGAAAAATAAATGTAGCGAAGTTGAATACTTTATTTTTATTCTACTCAAGTAAGAGTAAAAGTCCCACACTTTAATTATACTCAAAAAAGTAGAAAAATATTGAAAAATCTACTCAAGTACTGTAAAGAAAGTATTTGT